GAGAGAGAGAGAGAGAGAGAGAGAGAGAGAGAGAGAGAGAGAGAGGACTTTGTTGGGGAGCACGAGGAGGGAAATGGGAGCTATGTGGGGATTCCGAGAAGCGGCGGGAATGTTGTCCTATTGGAGTCAGATTCCCTGATGAGATTTGCGTCTGATATGATATGATACGATTGGCCGATCGACGGACTCGTAGGTTGTGTGCTCATCCGTCGTTCCTGTCCCACCCTCGCGGCCGTCGTACAGGACGGCCCTTCTTTTCCCCGTCTTTCCCGGTGAGACAGTATATAAAGTCAGTTGGACTTCTTGTCGGGCCCGAATCTATTCACAATTTCAGTATAATACATCATCAATTATAATAACAATGACCATGAAGTCGCGGCGTGGTAAGCGGTTTATCCGACCTGGCTGCTGTAACCCTTACGCGTGGAGGCCAGTTGGACCGGGAGGGAAGAGAGCGTTGTTCTGTGCTCTTGGGGTCTTTGTTATACTCGTATTCTGTTCGACTCCGTTTTATTCGACTCCATTTGAATGGTGTTGCAAAGATCGGGATCGCAATCGGCCTGGCGTGACCGGGATCATGAGGGAAAGCCCGCCGAGCAGGCGCGAAGATGTATTAGCATGGGTGGGGGGGTTGATGGGAAGATGTTTTACAAATAATGGGACATCTCGATGCCAGGGCAGTCAGAAGGGATGTTCTGGTGACGGAATAGCGTCAGCAGCAGCAGGAGGAGGAGGGGGAGGGGGAGGGGGCGGGAGTACGAGGTATCATCAGCATGTGTCGGACGAGAAGATGGAAGAGGCTGTGAATGCGTTAAAGCAGGGTTGGGAAACGACAGTGCTTCGACCTGTCGAGACTGGTGGCCTGATGAGCGGGGATCCGTATCGTATGAGGCCGCCCAACGGAGTCGTACCACCAGCTGCGGTCCAGGCGGAGGGAAATTCCACACCAGACCCTCTTTCATTGTCTTCCCGCCCATCTCCAGATACCAACTCGTCGATGCTTGATAGGCTGCTGGCCTTCGGTGTCCCGCATGGTCCGCACATTGAGGATTGCGGCAGGTTGGCGCGAATCAGGAGGGAATTAGACTCTAGGAGGGCGGATGGCTCTCTTCCCATTTGGGCGGAAGGAGCGGGCTTGGGTTCCGTGGAACAAGACCAGGCGCTGGAAACCGGATGGATCGACAGAGAGGAGGAAGCGTTCTACATCAACAGGACGGCGATGGCGGGACCATATCCACCTTGGGTGAGTCCTACTCTATCTCACTCACTCTTTCTTCCGCTCTCTCTTTCGCTCTCTCGCCCGCTCTCTGTTCCGCTCTCTCTCTTCCTCTCTCTCTTCCGCTCTCTCTTCCGCTCTCTTCCGCTCTCTCTTCCGCTCTCTTCCGCTCTCTTCCGCTCTCTCKTCCGCTGTGTCTTCCGCTCTCTCTCTTCCTCTCTCTTCCGCTCTCTCTTCCGCTCTCTCTTCCGCTCTCTCTTCCGCTCTCTCTTCCGCTCTCTCTTTCGGCCTGTCTTCCTCTCTCTGTTCCTCTCTCTCTTTCGGTGTCTTCCGCTGTCTTCCGCTGTCGTTCGCTCTCTGGTCCGCTCTCTCTCCCGCTTGTTGGGCTGTTAAAAAGCGAGTTCCGTTCACGTTTATGTCCTTACTGAAGGATTTTTTTTTTTCTTCGTTTTCTGGTTGGATATTCCCTTACCTGCGCTGCAGTCGGCTTTTTTTGTTTTTGTTTTGAAGGAAATAAAAAAGAAAAAGCAATCCTCTCTACCCCTAGCCCTTCTTTATGTATTGCTATCCGTTTTTTTATCATTAATTATTTGATTATTTCTTTATTTATGTTTTTGTGCCGGTCTTTCTGCGATTTTAACATCCAGTCGTTTACGTTTGCTCCCACCGCATTCCGCCAGTTCTCGATCTTCTTCGTAGGCTCCGTTCCGTTCCGTTCCGTTTGCGCCCACCGTCCTCTTCCTATTCAATTCTCTTGCTTCCAGTTCCTCCCCTCTCTCCTCCTTTCCTTCCCCCCCTTTGTTTCTCTCGCCCTCGTACTTTCTCTTTATATATATTTATTTTCTCTTTATATATATTTATATATATGTGATAAAAAAAAAAAAACATATATCATCCACGTGGCCGGCCTTGTACGTTCCTTCCTTTTTTTTTTTCCTTTTTTTGTTTTGTCTTTTTTCGCCTTTGCGCTCCGATACGCGGTGTGACGATATACTGTATATCGTCAAAGAGAGCTGCCCCGTAAACCGTGGGCAGAGAGGGAGAAGAGGACAACAAATGAGGGGCTGATATATATGAGTCGGTGAAACTCCGACGAAACAGTTTGTCACAGCCCCTCGTTTGTTGTCTTCTTCTCTCTCTCTGCCTACGGTTTACCGGGCAGTTCTGTTTGTGACGATATATGTATATAGACAATATATATACAACTCTGTTTATATCTTCCTTACTTCGTTTCCTTTCCTTCTTTTGCTTTTTTTCGCCTTCGCGCTCTGATTCACAGTGTGACAATTCACAGCCCCTCGTTTGTTGTCCTCTTCTCTCTCTCTGCCTACGGTTTACCGGGCAGTTCTGTTTGTGAAGGCTCAATTCTAATTTATTTTTAAGTCCGTAGCGTATACCAATTCCGCCATACCCCCTTAATGCTGCATATCTATTGAAATAGTATATCATAATATATATATATGAGGTTATGAACAGGTGGAGCTTTCCTTACCTCTTCCCCTTCCCCTTTTCTCCTTTTCCTTTTTTCTTTCCCCTTTTTTGCGCTCTGATTTACAATGTGACAATATATATGTAATATACCGGGCAGTTCTGTTTGACGATATATTATGAATAGAAAGGCTAATAATTCTTTTAAGCCAAACCAATTCAATTACCTGTCAAATCTGGACTCCCTCGTGCTTCATTTCCCCTTTGTTGCCTGAGTTCAGAAGTCGGCCTCCTTAGGAAAAAAGTAAAAATAAATAAATAAATAAATAAATAAAAATCCGCCTCCATTCTCTTCTTATATATACATATTTCCGCCTCCTGATGAGTCGGTGAAACTCCGAGGAAACAGTTTGTCATACCCCCTCTTTTGTTGTCCTCTTCTCCCTCTCTGCTGCCTACGGTTTACCGGGCAGCTCTATTTGACTATAGTTTTGAACAGGGGGAGTTATAAGGAAGAAGATAAAAAATTGAATTCAATTTTCTTTTCTTCTTTTTTTCCTTTTTTTCCGCATTTGCGCTCTGATATTTTGTGACAATATATATTGTCACACTGTAAATCAGAGCGCGAAATATATGTTTTTGTGACGATATATATATGTTTATATTTATATATATGATTTTCGTCCCGCCGTCGTCCCCGTTCGTGCTGGCTCTCGAGTCGTTATGGCCCGTTCCTGCCGACTCTTCTCTCCTAATAACCCCTCTTTCTGCACTTTTCCTCTTATGATATAATAATTGCATAACCTAAGCTGTTCTTTTTTTTTTTTTGAAAGGGCGACGGGCTTGAGATATCATTGTCGAACTGACTGCCCCCAGGTGATTCCGAATTTCTGATTTTTTTTCATCATCTGGTCCAGCTGGACTCGAACACGGGTCTGCATGCAACAGTTCATGGGTATACCAACTGAAGCTAGGCTGCTGACAGTGTGCTTTTTCGGTCCTGACCAGAGTCTCCATTCCCTTCTCCTGGTATCTTCTCCTTCCGGTCGGCACCCTCTTCTTCCTCGCCGCTACTGCTTTACCGGTGTTTTTTTTTTCCCCCCCTTCCCCCCCCCCCGCCCTCCTTTTTCCAGTTTTTTTTTCCCTTTTTTTTGTTCCTCGTAACGATTCTCTCTTTTTCCTAACTAATAAAAAACCTACATCGCTTTATTAAAAAAAAAAAAAACTTTCTTCGATGGTACCGTCCTCGTTTCACCTTCTCGTGCAGTTTTTTTTTTCTTCTTTTTTTAAACATCTGTGCTCTTCTCATTGTCTTTTGTGTCTTCTCCTACATCTGGATTTCAATTCTCTCTTCCTCCTCTCGCCTTGGTCATCCTCTATTTTTGTACTTGGCCTTGTGGCTGAATGATGCACACATGTAGCGGTCAATATTAAAACTCAGCAAAAACCTCCAGTCCTGATGCCTATAACAACGATAGGGTTTACCCGCTTTTTTCGGTGTTGAAAAAAAACACAACAAAACAAAACAAAACAGAAAGGGTGGGAGGAAAAAGAGGTAGTAGAAGGGTATACAGACCCCCAATACTCTGGAATGTGACAGGGTTTGAATCCCCATCTCTGCTGCATCTCAGCTATTTAGGACTTAAAAACATTCCCTTTCATTGCGCTTTGCGCTTTTTCCTTTTCCTTTTCCCTCTTCCTCCTCCTCCTCCTGGGCCTCCTTGTGCTCCTTCCTGTCTCGTCAGCTTAACCTCCACCCTTCGGAGAGCCATTCGGGGACCAAGTCCCATGTTCTGGTGCCCATTTCGGTGCCATGTCCCAGTTAGTACGTGAATTCAGCGTAACCTGCGTATTCAGCGTAACCTCCATCTTTCTGATACCATCTGTGGCCCAACTCCCATCTTCTGGTGCCCATTCCGGTGCCAATTCCCATGTTCTGGTGCCCATTTCGGTGCCGAGTCCCAGTTAGTACACGAATTCAGCGTAACCTCCATCCTTCTGATACCATCCCGGGCCCAAGGCCCATCTTCTGGTGGCCATTCCAATGCCAAGTCCCATCTTCTGGTGGCCATTCCGGTGCGAAGTCCCACTTACACACAAATTCCAAATTGTGACCGTAGACTACGAAGATCCAACAGTCCCAGCAATGAAGAATCGGCTTTTCAATGGGACTTGGCCCCTTCTCTCTGTCTCTCTCTCTCTCTCTCTCTCTCTCTCTCTCTCTCTCTCTCTTTTCGTAGTAGGTTTTCGTGCACACTTTTGCTGTCGTAGGAGGTACGTTTTCTTCCTTTTCCTTCGTTATTATTATTATTATTTTTTTTTTCCCCTTTCTGTTCTTTTCTTCTTTTCTTCTTTTTTTTTTCTTTTTCTGTTCTTCTTTTCAGCGGAATCGTTCCCCCGCTATCTTCTCATCTCCCTCCCGATCAATCCTCTCTACCGTCTTCACCTGAACAGAACGCCCAGCGGTCATTTTATAACTCTATTTGGTGAACTTTCCGTCTAGATACGTCTATAATGACCGCCGGGCGTCTATTCGCCGGGTGAAGGCGGTCGTAGTTGTGCAATAGTCGAAGGCAAGCTGGCGACCGTGTGTCAGCCGCTGCTGATCGCAACACAACCGCCGGGATACCGACTCTTGAACTTCCTCGGCCTCCTGATGAGGCCGTACGTATCTGGCAGCGGCTGAAACGTACCGTCTTCCCCCGAACACAACACACCCTCATTTTCCGTGTGTCTGGCCGGAAACATGCTGTGTATACGTTCTCAACTTCTCATGTTCAGGGTGCGTTATGTTCGGGGGACGACGGTAGGGGTTAGAGATTCTCAAGCAAGGAGATGAGATGTAGCCCGCACGTATGTGAATCTGGTCGCGTCTCGAAAGCATTACTGTTCAAAAAATAGTCATATACAAGAAACACGAATACTTGTTCACCATATTGAAAAAAAAAAAGTTGTTGTCCAACATATTTAGAAAAAAAAAACAAAAAGATTTGTCCACCATAGCTAAAGCTACGGTATTATAATACTCGAAAATCTAACGTCCAGAGATCAGATTGAAGAGGGAGGGGGGGGGGGGGGGGGGGGGATAGTAGAGAGAGCGTTTCGAGAGAGTTCGGTTGGGGGGGCATTCACCCAACCGGTTTCATCAGCTGGCGGCGTGGCGCCAGATCCAGCCTCATCAGGGGGGTTTAGGTTCATGCACCAATGAGGTCTCGATTAGGTTCATGCACACTTTTCGCTGAGTCAGACGCAGGAGGTACAAATTTCGTCCTTTTCTCTTTTTTTTTTTTTTTTTCGGTTGTGTTTTTTCGTTTTTTTCTCCTTCCTCTCTCCTTCCATCAACTTCGTCTGATCGTGCCCCCGATCTGTGGATCTGTTTCCCGGTCTTCACCCGAATAGAACGCCCCGTCATGGTGATTGTACTTGGCCAACTTTCAGTCTAGATACAGCGCTAATGACCGGGCATTGAAGGCATTCTATTCCGGTGAATACGGTGGTTGGTTTATGCACGCTTTCGCTGCCGTTTGTCTGTATCATCGTTCCACTTAGGAGGGTTTTGATGGCCTTGTCGAAAGGGATAATGGAGACCAGACGAAACG